GGGCTCTTCCTAGCAGAGGGATGTTGCCAAAGCCACATGTCTGCAGTGAAGCACTTGAGTTGTCTTCCCTTAACTATATTGGCTACAAACACGAATATTTAGTCCAACTCAGTCTCTCCTAAGCCAGAGATTAATCCACGACCTTGGAGAGAGGGAAAGGACTAGTGCATGGACAGCAACAAATGGAAAAAGGAGCAGGAATAGCGATGGGAAGCCAGTGGTGTCCCCTGGCTGGTGTGTCGTGCCCAGAGCAGGGAGGATCAAACAGCCCAGGAATTTCCCAGGTGATGCTCAGGGCTCTGTTTGCTCTGCCCTTCCCCTTGGATCCAGCTGGATATCACACAGAAGATAATGGCAGTGCTCCAGCCCCGGGGAAAAGGGGATCCTCTCCTCAGAAGTCACTGCTCTTCTTTGCTTTACATGTTGAAACGTTGCTGTGCCCAGGGAGAAGCATCTTTAACACCGGTGCTTCAGCTGATGAATTTTTAAAGGGTTTGAAAGTGAACTGAGGGATTTTACAGCTACTCTCTTCCAGCTTCCCAACCATCTGGTTGCTTCACAGATTTTCTGTGGATTCCTGTATTTCTTTCAGCCCGTTTCCCTAAGAAAACAAAGCTTTTGCTGTTGTGCTGCTCGTGTGTGTTTGTCCACCCATATCCCTGTGTTTCCTTGAACTTTCTGCTCAACCTCAGCCAGATTTGTGGGAGAGGTGGAAATCTCAGTTTTACCCTCATCCCACGTTTCCATCATTTGTTTGACACCCTGTGGGGATGGTCAACATCCAGCCTGGGGAGCTGCTGGCCCAGGTTGTTGCAACCTTCCTGGACCCCCAGAATTCCAGCTGATAAAGGCAAATGCACAATAGTGGCCGGGTGGGACACCCAAACAGCTGTGTGTTATCTACTTGGAGATGTTAAACCAAGAAGTTAAACCAGGATCAACTCCTGGACATCATTTTGTGCTGCACTTAGGAGGGAGTTTAACAAGAAACCTTTTCCAAGTTGGTAACTCCCAAGGGAGATCCAGGATAAATACAAATTAATCCTGATCCCATCTCGTTGATGATACTTGAGCTAAACCTTCCAGTTGAATGTTCGTGTGGATTTTGGGTCTGGAAGCCTTTTTAGAAAGCTGGGGAACGATGCAAACCATGGGAGGACATGTGAGCAGCGTGGAGATGTCTTTTTTTTTTTTATCCTGATGGCAAATTGCTTATGAACACCTTCTAAAACCTCCTAAATGTGGCTGTGCCGAGAGGCAGGAGCGGGGCTGGCAGAGCTGCCACCCGGCATTCCGGGGGATGGAACCTGCTGGGGAGCTTGGCACAGGCACTGCAACCTTGGCAAGGTACCATGGTAACGTTTCCAGACACATGTTTATGGGTTCTTTGAGGCCTTTTTGGTTAAATGTCAATGTTTTCATGAGATTATTCGAGGAGATTTCACTGCTCCAGAATCCCACTCTGCCTTTCGGGCTGAGAGTTGCTCCATGGAAAATCACAGAACCCCAGATTCACAGGATCCCAGGATGTTCTGAGCTGGAAGGGACCCCCAAGGATCATCAGTCCAACCCTCAGCCCTGCACAGGCCCAGCCCCAAGAGTCACCCCCTGTGCCCCAGAGGATCAGCCAAACCCTCCCTGAGCTCTGGCAGCCTTGGGGCTGTGCCCACTGCCCTGGGGAGCCTGGGCAGTGCCCAACCAGCCTCTGGGGGAAGAACCTTTGCCTGAGATCCAACCTGAGCCTGCCCTGACACAGCTCCTGCCATTCCCTGGCTGCTGTCCCTGGTCCCCCCAGAGAAGATGTGTCTGTCCTGGCTGCTCAGAGATGGAGAGCAAAGCTCAGGGTTCAGTTCCCTGCTTGTTGTACAGTTCTGGGAACGGGGCAGGAGCTGAGGGGCATCTGCCCTAGTCCCATTCAGGCCATCTGCCCTGCTCCCAGCCAGGGGAGAGGAAAATTGCTGCAAATTTAACACATTGGAGAGGTAGAAACCCTTTGGCTCATTGCAGTCCAGCACCGAGCCCTGGGCAGGGCATCACCCCAGTGTGGGATGGATCCCATCAGCACCAGGTCACTCATGCTCTGAGCTTACCCAGGGCCTCACCACATGAAGGTTTCTGTGTTTCCAACATGGACATTTTGGTGAAATTCAAAATGAGCCTTTCACAGAATCCCAGGGTGGTTTGGGTTGGAAGGAACCTCACAGCTCATCCAGTTCCACCCCCTGCCATGGGCAGGGACACCTTCCACTACACAGGGTTGCTCCAAGGCCTTGAACACTTCCAGGGATGGGGGATCCAGCCTGGACTGATCTGGCTGTGCTAGGACAGGTCTTTTTTTTCCAGACAGGCATCAGGCACTTGCATAATTCCCCTGAAGCTTTACACGGATTTCAACCTCGAGTGCTTTGCAAAACCTGGTGCTGTGTTTCATGAGCTCTCCCACAGCCCACCCTCCCTGTGCCCCTTTTTGCTGTTTTCTCTCCCCTTTCAGGCCTGTTTTTGGCCTCAGGCTCCTCTCTGCAGGTTGCTGAGCGTGTCTGAGGTGCAGCTGCACATCCTTGTTGGACACCCAGCACAGGAGCTGCTGCTGGTCCAGTTCTGAGCATCCCTGGTTCAAACTGGAGGCAAGTTGAGAGCTGCTGAATTCCAGCAGCTCTGCAGGTTTTCTGTGGAATGATATTAGATTTTTAAAAAAAATAATACATACCTGGGTGGTAGAATTGAATCCTGGATTTTTCTCCCCAGGGTATCACGGGTCTCCTCCAGCACTAAAACACATTCCAGGGTCCCAGGGAGCTGATTTTAAACACTCCAGCCCTCAGGGGAGATGCATTGTCATTTTTTTTTTTTTTTTTTACTGCTTGTAGAAGCAAAGGCAGGGAAAGTGATTTAAGAAATGCTTTAGTGAACTTAACTCCAGGGTTTGCTGCTGCTCCAGTGCTGGGGGAGCTCAGGGAGGGAGCACAACCCCAGGGCTGGGGCAGGGGGTGCTGGGTCCATGCCCAGCCCCACAGGCTCAGCACACTCTGGGTTTGCAGTGCAAGCCCATCCCCATTTGGATTTAAACCCCTTTCATTCAACAAGGATTTGAAAACCCTGTTGATGGATGCTGTGATTTTTGAGGTTGTCCTGTGCAGGGCTCGATGGTCCTTGGGGATCCCTCCCATCTCGGGATATTCTGTGATTCCCTGGGATGTTTTTCAAGAGAAAACAAGGATCTAGCATTCCCTGAATACTTTGTGGTGGGCCTGGAAACTAAGAAAGGTAAAATTCCCACCTTAGTGCTGAGAAAAATATGTCAGAGCCAGCAAGAGATCCCAAGGAAACACATTAATTGGCAAGTGCTGGGAAATTACAGATGTGCTTAATGAAAAAGAAAACCTTGTTTACGGTTTCTAACGTGCTGCTGAAGGAACTGGCTCCCAAATAAAAATACTTAAAGTTACGATTAGGATTTATTTACATAATTACTGCCAGAGAAATTCCAGGGACGTGCTGAGCAGTGCAAGAGAAGCCTCATGGCTTTTCCTCTTTGCTTCCCAGTGTCTCCAGGTTATTTTGCTCTTGGGGAGTCTCTCGAAGCTGTTCCTGACTCAGTGAGGCAAGAAGGCATTTGTTACAAAATTAATTCATATATATGTGGATATAGATTTGTTTTATTGACTGTGGTAGGAACATATGGCTGAGTAAGAGCCAGATCATCCTTGTAATTGGAGTGCTGGCTGGAGAAGGATTCAGGAGGTGGCACTTATGGCAAGGCAAGGATGTTCCACGGCTACAGCGAGGATGCCCTTGGAGTTTGTTTCCAAGGGGCCGTGACCCCCAGGGACGTGAGGGAGTCGTGCCAAAGCATAAATTGATATTAATGGTGGGTTTCAAACCGTGCCCAGGGTGTCCAGGCCACCTTCCAGCCCCTGCAGAGCCCCTGGGCCGGATCCCAGGGGATGTTGGTGTGGCTCTGCTGATTTATATCCGCTGGAAACATGGAACAGAAAGGCCCACAATGGGTTTGTGCTGCCTGGATCCAGCCAAGGGGATGACAAATCTCCCTCTTAATATTTCAATTGACTTTGGCAAACTTGCCTCTTTCTTGTGTATCCTAAATCAATGTGTAAGTGCTGCTGACAGTAATTCCCACTTTTGTCTGTGCAGATGGCTGCCCTTCACTCTGCTGCCGTGTTTATACCTGCGAAGTTTGCAAACACTCTGCTGCTCCAGCCTCCTATTGAGCAGTATTTTTCCTTCCCTGTCATAGTTGGGAGGTGAAAATGTTCTTTGTTGGGCCTTGCCCGAATGGGAATTTTCTTCTTTCTTCTTCTCACTGAAGTCTGGAGCCCAGGAACTGGTGGTGACGAGCACCTCGCTCAGGGAGGGTGCCCTGGGTGGGGGGTTAAACCACCTCAGGGGTCTGGAAGCTCCAGAGCAGGGTCTGAGAGATGGTTTCCAGGCTCTTGCAGGGCTTTGAAAGTTGTGCTTCTGAATCTAGTTGGGGATGTTGCATCTCTGGGATTGTCCAAGGCCAGGCTGGAGCAGCCTGGTCTAGGGGAAGGTGTCCCTGCCCATGGCAGGGGGGTAGAACGAGATGAGCTTTAAGGTCTTTTCCAACCCAAACCATTCTATAATTCCATGATCTTATGGAATCTTTTTAAATTTTTTAATTGCATGTCAATGCAGACCCCTGTGCACTATGAAACTATTACCAAGAAGCAAATCTGGAGGCTGAAAGCTGCCATATGAGTGCTAGAGATTCCTCTTTTCCTGCTGCTCTGTCTCTGCTCACTCTTCTTCATTACCAGGAAGCAGCAGCTGCATTTTTGTTTGTTTAGCTCCTCTCTCAGACACTCAATCAAACCTGGAGCCCATCAGTCACGCGCCAACCTTGCCGGGGATGCTTCGGCCCAGCTACTCCCTCAAGGCACACACTGCTGTTGTACCATTCCAGCAAAACAGGGCCAAATAATTCCAACAAACCATTCTTTTCCCTTTCCTCTCGTTCCCAGGGAGAAGATGCCATTCCACCATGTGACAGCTGGCTTGTTGTACAAGGGCAACTACCTGAACCGCTCGCTCTCCGCCGGCAGCGACAGCGAACAGCTCGCCAACATCTCCGTGGAGGAGCTGGATGGTGAGCAAATCCGGGGGGTTTCCCAAATTGCTTTTCCAAATTCACCCTCTCCATGGTGTTGTCACGAGGTGTTCTCCCTGGGGAGCGAGGAGGAAGGGATGGCTCAGCAGGTCAGGCACAGGAAAAGGTCCCCGAGCGAAGTTGCGTGGAGAGCTGGGCAGTGATTTTAGGCTCGGATTTTGTCCTTCTGAGAGGCAAGAAGGACAAAGTCAAGAAGGCAGCTTTTTGAGACAGGAAGGCTGCATTTTGTGGGCAAAAGTGCAAGAGAAAATTTAGGCTAATGTGTATTGCAAAGATGCTTTTAGCTTTCCTGGAACCTGCAGAGCTGAGTCTATCCCTTCCAAGTCGTCTCGTTTGCTTTGTGGGCTTTCAAAAGTGAGGTTTCTCTGTGTCTCAGTATAACAAGATGCACGGAGGCAGCTTGTGGCTTAAGAAGCTGGGAAGGGCTTTAAAATTCCCTTTCACAGGTCAGTGATTGGGAGCACAGACTGGCCTCAGGCTGGCAAAGGCCATCAGGGGGGTTATCCACATCTGCTGCCTGTAGGATCCCATCATTTTCTCCCTGGTTGTTGCTAATCCCTCCTGCCCTGCAGACAGGATGTGTGGCCAGGTAGACTCCCAGTCTGGTTTGTGGTGGGAAGGTCTCCTTTGTAGATGATTTGTGGCTCCTCAGGGTCGTTTCCAAGCAAAAGTTAATATTGTGGACAGCTGGGCTTTGAGTGCTGTGGAACAAACTGAAGCTCTTGGGTTGCTTCCCAGTGGACATTTGGTACAAGCCATGATCATAATGAGTGGCCTCGATGGAGAACTTCAGGAGGAAATGATCAGGGGAAGGGTGCAAGGGGGAAATGGTCCTTCCAGGGCAGGCTGGAGGAAGTTTGGCAAACATTTCTTCTCACCCTCCCCCTCTTCACGTGTGCTTTTGTAAATCAGAGCTCGGTTTACAAGCCTTTGGATTTGGGTTTGTGAGCTTTGAATTAACTTATCTTTGGTACAAACAGGGTTTTCTCCTCTCTAGTGAGTGAGAAGGCAGCTCAGGGGAGAGATGCAACATGAGGAACCACTTTAAGGGCAGCTCAGCTCAGACCCCAGGACTGACTAGGGCCTGTCCTGGGCTCTTCTGGGACACAGGAGCTTGGCTTGAAGATTGAAGTTCAGCTGAACTGAGGTGAATTAGCTTCTCTGCATCCTAGAGATGCCAGCCTGTGTTGCAGGTGAAGCTTTGCTGTTGTCCCTGTGACAGGAGGTGGGGTCAGGTCCTGCAGTTCATTCCAAATGCAGACAACAAGGGGGATTTTGGTTATGCCAACCCTGGTCAGAGCACAGCTGCTGTGACTGGGATTTGCAGACAACTGTCAAGAGCTGATCCAAGGGGTGGTGTTTGGTCAAAGGTTGCACTCAATGACCTTGAAAGTCTTTTGCAACCTTGATAATTCCATGATTCCATGACTCTCTGAAGTGGCATCAGGGCTGGAACCCACTGTCAGGGCTGGAACCCACTGTCAGGGCTGGGACACACTCTCAGGGCTGGGATACACTGTCAGGGCTGGGACACACTCTCAGGGCTGGGACACGCTGCCAGGGCTGGGACACACTCTCAGGGCTGGGACACCCTGCCAGGGCTGGGACACGCTGCCAGGGCTGGGACACACTGCCAGGGTTGGGACACGCTGCCAGGGCCATCCCATCCCACCGGGGATACTCCTCCCTGGTTTGTCTCCCTGCTCTTTGCACGGCAATGACCTGTGGCTGGACGTGGGAAGGCAGCCCAGCTCATCTCCATCCTTCCCGTGCCTCCCTGACCCGCGCTGGACTCTCTGCAGGCTCCACAAACCCTCTGCCATCCCTTTTCCCTGCGGGGTGGGAGCAGCAGCTGCGGGAGAAGAGCCCCACCTTCCCCAGCACTCCAGAGGCTGCGGAGCGCGGCTCATCTCCCTTAATTAAGGCAAATGAAGTGAGTTAGGTGTGAAGGAGCTGCCCGAGTCGCTGTTAATGCGAGTCCCGCTCCCATCCAGCGTGGCCGGTGCCCCATTAGCGCCGAGCTCCGAGCGGGAGCGTTCATTCAGCTCCGGGCACAAAGAGCATCCCCCTCGTTCTCCGGGAGATTTAACTAATCAGCCATTTATTTCCTGCCTGTTAAGCACAGGGCTTCCTGCTAGAATTCAGCCCGATTATTTTCCTGACAGCCCTGTGCTCCACAAGCCCCTCTTCTTCGAGGGCTTTGTGGCTCTTGCCAGGAGGACGTGCCCCGGTTCTGAGGAGAGCTCAACCTCAGGCCATTTTTTTCCACCTGCAAACACAGAAGTGACACCAAATTGATTCGTGTCTGCTAAAGCCAGAGCAGCATAAGAAGCTGCAGAGAGTTTTCTGTGTGCCAGCCAGCAGCACACAGCCTCTGGAATTTATGTTTAATATTAAGGCAGCGTCTCTGTCTTGCTGTGCTTTGTCACTAATACCAGATCAGTGCCTGGATGTGCTGGTAATTGGGGAAGGTACCACTGTTCACTGCCCAACCTAAAACAGAATTAGTCTTTCTGCCTCTAAGCATAAACTGTCTGAGGGTGAGTAACAAAATGTTCTTCCTTGAGAAGTTAATGTCAGGGTATGGGAGCTTTGTGGATATATCAAGCTGTGATAGCTCGATGCCAATAACATATTTGCATTTAATCTTACAGGGTTGGGAAAGAGATGCCAAAATTCTCCTTGGTTTCTTTTTCAATGAGATTTTGCTCCTGAGGGAGTTCCAGCCTATTGAGAAATTCCAGTCACACATATTAAATTATGAAAGGTTTGAAGCTGGGGAAGTCAGTGGGAATTTTCTATAATGTTCCCTCTGCGCTCAGGACTCCAACAAGTGCCTGATCTGTCGGGGTTTTTCCAGCAGGTTTTTTGTTTTCCACGTCTAGCATTGCATGTCTCAGCACTTGGGGAAGGATTTCTGGAATTGTGGGCTCTGGGATGCTGCAGGATCTGTGCAGCCTGACTGGAATACAGGCTGGAATACAGGCTGTCTCCCTGCAGTGAATACTGAGTTCTCCGTTTGCAGCCTGAGGGTGATGGATAATATGGAGATCAGGGAATGAAAAATAGTTCTGGCTTCAAGTAATGTAAGAGAAAAGGAGTCCAAGTTTCGGGATGGACACCCAGTGTGCTTAAGGTGCTGCTCTGCCTCTTCTCTGACTGCTTGTTTTTCAAAGAAATATTTCAAATTTAGGAACAAGTTGGGTTGGAAGGGACCTTAAAACTCATCCAGTTCCACCTCCTGCCAGGGGCAGGGACACCTTCCACTAGCTCAGGTTGCTCCAAGCCTGGTCCAACCTGGCCTTGGACACTTCCAGGGATGGAGCACCCACAGCTTCTCTTGGAATTCCACCCCAGCCCCTCACCACCCTCACAGGCAAGAATTCCTTTCCAGTATCCCATCTAACTCTGTCAGTGGGAAGCCATTCCCCCTTGTCCTGTCCCTCCATCCCTTATCCCCAGTCCCTCTCCAGCTCTCCTGGAGCCCCTTTAGGCCCTGGAAGGGGCTCTCAGGTCTCCCAGAGCTTTCTCTTCTCCAGGCTGAACAATCCCAGTTTTCCCAGCCTGTCTCCATAGGTGAGGTCCTCTTACCAGCTCTGGACTTGCTCCAACAATTCCACGTCCCTCCTTCATTGGGGGCACCAGAACTGCCCACACTATTCCAGGTGGGATCCAACGGGAGCAGAGTAAATTTCCCCCTCTGAAAACTTCCCAGACTTCCATCAGCCATCTGTCAACTTGAACTGGGCTCTGGTTTTTTCCATCCTGCTTTAAACACAGTTCTGGCAGCCAGGGAAGAGGCTGGAGAGATAACAGGTCACTGCTGATGCCTCTTCTATTCCGAGCAGCCACGCTGCTATTTGTGGTTCTCTTTGTGGCTCTGTAGTAGTGTGAGGGTGTTTAGGAGCTGTCACTGTCACAGAAGGAGAATTAACTTGCACAAAGCCATATTAGGAGCTCCTTAACTTTGTTAACAACCACCAAATGACGAAGTTGGAAGTGGCAGCACATCCATAACCTGCCTCTGAGGGGCTGTGAAGCACGGCGGGGTTTTGGATCGGAGTTATCGCCGTGTGCTCAGAGGTTTCTGGGCATGAGATTATAAATCAAGGCTGGGAGGGGCTGGTTTTATACACTAAGGCTGGGAGGGGCTGATTTTCTACATTAAGGCTGGGAGGGGCTGTTTTACATATAGATTTCCTGGCTGGTGTTGGGTGACATGGAACTGTGGCGTGGTTTGTGCCGACTCTGCGGTTTCCACGTCCCTCCTCAAACCACCTCCCGTCCTCACGTTCGGAGTATTTTTAATAAAAAAAGTGGTGGATGGAAATAATCACATCGAGCTTTGAGTCATCCACCTCCATAGGCACTATCTAAAGGGTATTGTCAGGAGGCAAAAACATTCCCATAGCAGGAATGTGACAAATATCACCTGAAGGGAGGCACATGCGTGAGAAGCAGGCTTTGCAAAAAGTGCCTGGGAGATGTGAACCAGTCAGTGCCTGGCAGAGAAACCCCAAAGCTGAACCACAGCAGCAGCTATTTGTCCAGAAAGACATCAAGAGAAATCCTTACCTGCCCCAGATTCCTTTGAAATCAGCAGGAGAAAATGGTGCTGCAGGACAGCTCTTGGCATCTGGGGCTGCAGGTCACGCAGCTCCCGCCCCGGGAGGTGGGTCTGTGGTGTCTGTAAGGGTTTTTCTAGGCTGGGAGAGGTGTTTTTTGGCTTGAAGGTTGAGCTGCATCTCCAGTTTCGCCTGCCTGAACTGGAGATGTCAGCAGAGCAGCACGTGGAATGGGGCAGAGCTGCTGCCTGCAGGAGCTTGGGGTGCAGCAGCTCCAAGGCAGGAACGTGGAGATTCCTCAGCAAGAGGCTGTTCTGTCATTGTGGATTTTACACCACCTTGCAGGATGTGCTTCACCTGGTTTCTGCTTGTTCCCAGCAGTCTCTCTTTTGTCACCCCCAGCAGCTCTTTCCT